TCCCCAGTTCAGATTTAATAACAGTTTCGCAAGCTCCCTCTAGGGGAAAAAGCTTCTATTTGTATCCATCTCTCTCTCTCTTTTTTTTTAAAGCAGATCTAACAACAAAGTTTCCTTTTTCAGATATTTTGTCAATATTTTGTTCCTTTTAGATGCGAAGGGGAACAATGGAATCAATATGTTTCTCTTCTTTTAACTATCTGTCAAAAACGTTTGTCTATAGTCAATGAACTTCCCGAGGACGTCTGTCCTGACACCCCGCTCCCAGGTTCAAGACGGTGGAAAATTGCTTTTCTTTACTCTCTCTTCTGCAGGTTTAAACAGTCCAGAAAAAGTTCCCCCCTCTTCTCCTGCTTCCAAGGGGGGTTCAGTAATTTTAAATGATGAAAATTGATCCTTTACAGACGACTTTCTAAACTCTAGCTTGCCGTGTCTTTGCTTTAATCTATCTACAAAAGCGGAAGGCGGACTTCCTGTTTAGACCTTCCCGCTTCAGTGCCAAATTAAAAGAAATTTCTTAATCCAATTTTCCGTTCTACTCACGGGCAGTTATTTAAAATCCAATTGTCCACAGGAAAAAGTCAGCGCTCTCCGGCAACAGCAATGCGGCTTCACTCCGTGAAAGAAGCAGTCGATTCAAAGCACCGCGCCACTCACCCCACGTCGCTCCGGATCCCCGAAACCGGGTTTCCCGCGAGTAGGGGGCGCAAAGGTGCCAGCCGAATCCCACATCCACAGGCTTCTCCCGCCTGTGGTTTTTGATGGATCTCCGCCTCGCCGTGGCGGTTCAGACCCTTTTTTCCACGGAGCAGATTCCTCCCGATCGGAGGAAATCCGCCATTGCCAGAGGCGCCAACCCAGAAGTCCACTCTCCACCCTTCACCCACAATTCAGAGTAAGGAAGTTGTGTAGCCAACTCTGATTAGTGATCCCTGATAGGCTGCACTATGTGTTCCCTCATTGGCTGGGGATTCAGAGCCACTGAAAATACACTTCCCCAAAAGACTTTTCCTTTGCAAGGGCTGGGGGACCTCCAGATATTGTTAGGCTCTGATTCCCAGCTTCAGCCAGCATCAGGTAAGGGATGATAGCTACGTCTGGAGGGCTGCAAGTTCCGCATTCCTGCTTTCTGTGTCACAAATCCCCACTCACAACTTGTCAGCTGCCTCTTCTACAAATCTTCACACCTCTGTTACCAGCCTCCTAGGTCTTATGAATGAGCTTCAGCTGAGTGAGGTTTATGAACTGCTTTTACTTCTGAAAATGGCAAGGGAGGGCAACACACACACACACCCCACACACTGGGCTAGATCCTTCAGCCAAGGCTTTATTGATCCTCAGTTAATGCAGGAATTCCTTCTCCGATTCCAGTTGCAGAGAACAAACACTTGTGCACCCTCTGCTTTATGAGATCATTTTAAGTACGGGTCAATGTAATCAGATAAGAACATCGGAACATAAGAAGAGCCTTGTTGCCCAACTAGACCAACATCCTGTTCTCCTAGAGGCCAACAGGATGCCAGTGGGAAACCCCCAATAAGGATTTGAGTACAAGAGCCGTTTCCCCTCCTGTGGTTTCCAGCAACTGGTTTTCAGAAGCATTGCTGTCTCCAGCTGTGGAGGCAGAGAAGAGCCATCATGGCTAATAGCCATCAATAGCCTTTTCCTCCATGAATCTGTCTAATCTTTCAAAGTCATCTAGCTTGGTGGCCATCACTGCCTCCTGTGGGAGCATGTTCCACAGTAACTATGCTCTGCGTGAAGAAGTACTTCCTTTTATGTGTCCTCAATCTTCTAACGTTCAGCTTCATTGGATGTCCACACATTCTAGTGTTATGAGATCTCATTTCACTGTTCTTCTCTCTGGGTCCAACAGACCTGGTTCCTTGGCCTGTCCTCATGGGATCTCCGTGCTGGTTCCTGGCCCCAAGCGAGTAATGTGGCATGTGGAGATGGCGGCAGCAGCAGTGTCAGGTGACGGAAGCTTTGAGACCTTGCAATTTCCTTCCACACAAGGCTCCCCCTTTCAATTACCCACCCTCCTGCCTGGGAGAACACTCTTCCCATTCTGTTAAAAGGCAGCAATTTAAAGAGGCAATTTAACATTGATCTGCAGGTGTCAAGATAACCTGCCCAACTGAAAGCCAGCCTGTGCAGAGGGCAGCAAAAGAAACAACACACACCCCATGTGCTTTGATCCTCTGCTGTGGAAATGAGATGAGCAGCCCTCCTCCATCCACCACTGATGCATATGGCTGAAGGGCCCCAGTGCTGGATAGCTGAGCAAATGAATGATTCCCTTCATTATTTCCTGTTAGGGTTTCTAATTTCCATATTATTTGTCAATTGTGAGGCAATTTAGTTTAAAGATGACTGGGGGCTTTTGAGCAAAGCAGGTGGGGTGGGGGCAGAGAAGAAGGTGTGTTGAGGAGGGAAGTGGGCTATGTCAGCAGAAGCTGCTGCTTCCATTAGCAGAAGATGCTGAGATCATTCCCTGCATCCATTGCCTGAAGGCTCTGCTGGATTTGTGAGACCTGCTCGGTGAAAGGACTTGGAGAAGGGCTTTCACAGGACATGTTGTGGGAATGTTCAGGGAGACAGGAGAGGATATATTGTTTAATGATATCCTTCCTAACTTGCGTTAGCAAGTTCTATATCTTAGCAGAGTTTAAACATTCCCCTTTAAACGCACAGCACTTTGCTTGTTGCAGGCTCATCTGAGCTTCCATATACAGTGGTACCTCAGGTTACATACGCTTCAGGTTACATACGCTTCATGTTACAGACTCTGCTAACCCAGAAATAGTACCTCGGGTTAAGAACTTTGCTTCAGGACGAGAACAGAAATTGCACAGCGGCAGCGCAGCAGCAGCAGCGGAGAGCCCCATTAGCTAAAGTGGTGCTTCAAGTTAAGAACAGTTTCAGGTTAAGAACGGACCTCCGGAACAAATTAGGTACTTAACCCGAGGTACCACTGTATAAGATTTCTGGTAAGATCCCATCTTATCCCTCTTAAAAAGAATAGACAGGGCAATCTCATTAAAGTCATATATAAGTAGTATACTCACAATTATTCAGTTCACAGTTGGATCGCTGAAGGCAGACTTAGGTTACAAAAGTATATATACATGTGGAACTATCCCATAAGGGAGTTAGTTCCAAGTGACTGCAAACAGGCAGCCACTTCTGCTCACATGTGGAAAAGAATTCAAAAATGGAGGAGAGAGCAGAAGATGGAGGTGTGCTCTCCTCCCCAGGTTAGGCCACACCCACCTTCAGTCACATGCAGAGGAAGTTTGTCCCAGCTCAGGAGGAAACAGGAAGTTTTCTCCTGGGTGGTACAAAGCATCCCCCAGCATGTCCATTCTAGGAATGTTGTACTTGACAGCTATGTGTTTCACATCCCACACACGTTGCAGTGGTTGAGGGAGGAGAACAGCCAGCCAGAAACTTCTTTTGAAGCTGAATGTGCTACTAGGCCAAGGGGTTGGGTGGGGAGTCCCTCACTTCCTGGACACCTCCAAGCTGTCACTATTTTGCAGGAGGGATGCAAGTGGCACATCATGGGAAAATTAGGTTAAATGCAGGTGGATTAGAGTGCTCTGTTGGCATAGTGCAACAAACCCACTTTAAAAAAAGAAATGGACTTTCTGTGGTTAGATAAGTGACAGGAAAATGCACCGAAAAGGTTGGAATGAATGAATAATGGTCAATATATAAACGTGCCCTCCCCCCAAGCCAACTGGGACAGATACTCATGGTCAGAGAACCTTCTTGCCAACAAATCTGAATAATTTGGCTGTCTGCTTCACGATGGGCTTTCTCATCCTGTCTCAAGTTGAGCAGTTGGATCCATTTGCACCCTGGTGTGGGATTGGGGGTTCCTCTCCCTGGTTTTGCCCATTTTCTTCTCTTCCTTTGGAATTCCTAACTCTGCTGGTAACTGATGGATTCTGGGGCTTTCTGAGGGGGTGAGCAGACCGTGAGAAAGAGAAGCAGGATTTACTCTTCATGTACTTCGTACATGTATATCTGTCTCTTTTGCTCACGCAGCACTTAGCCATAGAAACACAATATGATAATTATGGAAACATCCATAGTAAAATGAAGCAAATGAAGTGCAGCATAATCTATTCAAGCAAACAACATAAAATCCACTTTTAAACAGCAATATGCAGAAAACTACATATTAAAAGCTGGTTGAAATAAATGAAGTTTTCAGTGTTTCTCAGAGCCTGCATCTATAACCTCTGAGAATTCTTGGAGAACAAGTGAGGGCCCAGCAGAAGGAAGGTAGGCAAATGTTGTCCCCATTTTCAAAAGGGGGAGGGGAGAAGATCTAGGTAACTACTGACCAGTCAGCTTGACATCAATACCAGGACACACACGGAAGGCATGGAATGCAATTAGCTCTTTATTAACAGAAAATAACAACACAGCAGAGTGCTCTGGTTCACCTTAATCCATCTGAGATGTTGCTGAAACTGACCACTACTCTGCCCTTCCCCCTCTAGCCTCTCACTCTGGATCCCTCCCAAGCAGATGAAGGCTGCATTGAGGGGACGAGCTCCTGTCTGACCCATTGATCTGCAACTTGCAGGACTCTTCTTGAGTGAGGTATCAGAGGGGCAGGTGAGCCAGCAGGACCAGGACTGTCCTGCTGCTGTGTAGCAGAGCCAACCTCTGATTCCTCTCTGAGTCTGCGCTCACACTGTGACTCTGAGCCTCTAACTCTGTCCTAGAAGGCCCTCTTTCTCCTGACTCCCTGTGATTGCTCAAACCGCCTGCTTCTAGCACCTCCCAGCACGTACCTTCTGCAGACGCTCTTCAGTGTCCCACAACCAGGATCTGGGATCTAAGTCTTCTTCTGTGCCCTCCTTGGGGGCTCTTGGGTAGGTGGCTCCCACCACTCTTCCTCATCCAGCCAGTCTCTGACAGCAACTGTACATGTTCATAGAAGCATTGAGTTGGAAGGGACCACAGAGATCATCCAGTCCAACCCCCTGCAATGCAGGAATCTTTTGAACCCATGACCCTGAGATTAAGAGTCTTATGCTCTACCAACTGAGCTATGTATATCAATGTATGTGTTGCCAGCAGAGGTTTGATTCTCAAGGTCTTGGACATAGAGGGATGGCACCCCATGGAGACAATATCTAGCATGCCATGGGCAAAAGCAGAGGTTGCATTTATTGTCCAAGTGGAGAAAGGGTTATACGGAACATAAATGTGGTTCATAGGTGTATAATATACATGCAAAAATCTTGTGGACTAGCAGCTCAAACTTGCTTATTGAAGGGTGGGGAGGTGGGGAATGTTACTGCTGTGGTATAAGGAGAGGGGAAGGATGTTAAAGACCCCACAGGCCTAAGCACAACAGGGAAACTCAAACTGATGCAGGTTTGGGCCATAAAAGGGGTAGAAAGGACAGGGAGGTAGGAGAATGAGGCGAAATAGGAAGGTCAAAGTGCCAGTGGTTACATATACCCGAAGAAAGAGAAAAGCAATGTTGGCCTGAGAGTCCAGGGCAAGGAGGACTGAATGTCCAGGTTCTTAGAGGGGCTGCAGCTCCCTTCTTAGGCCAGTGACCCAGAGGGGCAAGTTCCTGGTCCGTGAATCCCTGTCTTGACTGATGTTAAAAATGGGCTTGGGACAGGTTAGGAAAGTCCTGGATTGATGCTGTTCTTTATTCTCCATTAATAACTCCCAGCTACATCTTGCCAGATAAAGCCAGTAGTGTACACGGTCTTTCAATTGTAGCCAGAGATTCATGCCTTACCTAGAAGCAGGGGGCTTGGTGATTCAGCAGCAAGTGCTGTTTGACTTTGCCATAAAATCCTTCATTGATGCATTTAAAAACAGCAGCACATCTCTGAAGCAGCAGGAACTAAGTGGAATTATAACAGCGTAGAGCAGGCACTTTCTGCCCTTGGGAGCAAATCCAGGCTGGTCTCGGGAGATGCAAAGAATGCATGTAAATCAATTTCCAATGGCCTTTCCCCCTTTGCAAGCTTACTTTATGAGAACAGAGGAATGAGAGCTGCCCTGGAGTTGCAGAGCTGGAGGGAAGCACATGCCAGCCTCGTTCCTCTGGCATTGGCCAGCACCACCCCCACCTCCCAGGAAGAGCATCATGGCAAGAGAGAGACCAGACCTGCCTTCTCCATCAACCACAGAGGGAGCAACTGATCCAGTCTTGGCTCTTCTCTTTCTTCTTTTCCTTTTTATCCCTCTTTCCTTTTTGCATTGATGTGAGTTTGGCGGTTAGTCTGGATGATGCCCTAAGTCTCTTCCAGTTCTTGGAGTTTGGTACCCAGTGAGGGTTTGAATACAATGGTAATTCTTGAACTAGTCAGACAAGTTTATTTGTAAGACAATGACCTGAGCTGGCCATTTAAGTGTCCTCATAGGCATCCCAAAAGAATGAGCTAAGTTGCAGGAGCTACATATAAATGATGGTGCCCTCCTTCTAATGGGCGGACCTCCCCTGCCCCCACTCCACAACTAGAGGCTATATAGGAGCTAGAATAGTGTATGTGAGAGCTGAGCTGGAAGCTGGAGATACAGAGACCTACTTGCTCTGTGTTGGGTTCAAAGCTGCAACAAGTGGAGAGGTAAGATCTGCTGGAGGCGCTAATGCTGTGAGCCCTTCCATCCTATGTTCAGGTTGTATAAATGTGTAAAAAACACACACACATATATCCTAAGGACACCACAGTCTCCACTGACCTTCATTCCAAGGAAACAGAACCCTGAATAAGTGCCAGAAACCCCAGGAATCTCTCCCCGCTTGGAGATTGGGGTGATGTATAAAAACCACATATATATTATATGGTGTGGGTAGGGACTGTCTGATCCATTACTATCCAAAGAGCATTTAGGATATTTTAGAGGGTGTATAAGGGTTAAACAAGAGCTGCAGACCCTGGCCTTTGGAGTCACCATGTGGGTTGGACCTTCCCTTGTGATATAGTGCTATCCAACAATGACTGGGGCCACTGGGAAGCAGCTATGAATGACACTTTCCCTTGCACAGGAGAGGGTGGTGCGGTTACTCCTCATCCTTGCAGATGGTAGACCAGGAGGGTTGATCCAGGACCAGCTCCTGTTTCTCCAAGCAGAGGCGCTGCAGCCAGGCCAGGTCTTCGGCACAAGGCTGTGAGGCCAGTTCCTTTTTTTAAAAAAAATAATATTTATTAAAGTTTCACAAAAATACATGAAAATACAGAATAAAGAAAAAGTATAAAGTTTTAAGATATAACAAAAAAAAGTAGAAAATAAGGGAAAAAAACATACAAAATAAAACAGTTCAAAACACAATAATGTTCCATAACCTATCTTCCTTACTCTTATTTCCCCGGACCTCCTCATACCTCCCTTCTTTGTATTCCAATTCAATTTTTTGGTTCAGCAAATCCTTACCATTAATCTTTTACCCAATTGTTAACCTTTTTTTCCATGTCTCTTAAAGCATTACAGCTAAAAACCTCTTAGTTTCTATCCAACATCCTTCTAAAGTTCCTTAATTTTGCAATATTTCTGTAAATAGTCCTTAAATTTCTTCCAGTCTTCTTTCACCGACTCTTCTCCCTGGTCTCGGATTCTGCCAGTCATTTCCGCCAGTTCCATGTAGTCAATCACCTTCATCTGCCATTCTTCCAAAGTGGGTAGATCTTGTGTCTTCCAATACTTTGCGATAAGTATTCTTGCTGCTGTTGTAGCATACATGAAAAGGGTTCTGTCCTTCTTTGGCACCAATTGGCCGACAATGCCCAAGAGAAAGGCCTCTGGTTTCTTCAGAAAGGTATATTTAAATACCTTTTTCAGTTCATTATATATCATTTCCCAGAAAGCCTTAATCTTTGGGCACGTCCACCAGAGGTGAAAGAATGTACCTTCAGTTTCTTTACATTTCCAACATTTATTATCGGGCAAATGATAAATTTTTGCAAGCTTGACTGGGGTCATGTACCACCTGTATATCATTTTCATTATATTCTCTCTTAAGGCATTACATGCCGTAAACTTCATACCTGTGGTCCATAACTGTTCCCAGTCAGCAAACATAATATTATGTCCAACATCTTGTGCCCATTTAATCATAGCAGATTTCACCGTTTCATCCTGAGTATTCCATTTCAACAGCAAGTTATACATTCTTGACAAATTTTTAGTTTTGGGTTCTAACAATTCTGTTTCTAATTTTGACTTTTCCACTTGGAAGCCTATTTTCTTATCCAAATTATATGCCTCCATTATCTGATAGTAGTGGAGCCAATCTCTCACTTTATTTTTAATTTTTCAAAACTCTGCAATCTCAATTTATCTCCTTCTTGCTCCAAAATTTCCCAATATGTCGGCCATTTGGCCTCCATATTGAGCCTTTTCAGAGCTTTTGCTTCCATTGGTGACAGCCACCTTGGGGTTTTATTTTCCAATAAGTCTTTGTATCTTATCCAGACATTAAACAATGCTTTCCTAACAATATGGTTTTTGAATGCTTTGTGTGCTTTGACCTTATCATACCATAAATATGCATGCCATCCAAATACATAAATATGCATGCCATCCAAATACATTGTTAAAACCTTCTAAATCCAAAATATCTGTGTTTTCAAGAAGTAGCCATTCTTTCAGCCAGCAAAAAGCTGCTGATTCATAATAAAGCCAGGTCTTCGGCACAAGGCTGTGAGGCCAGCTCCAGGCACCTTCTTCATCATCAAGGTCCGGTGGAGCATTGATTTCAGTCTCAGAAGGTGAAGAGGACTTCTCACGGCCATCTACATTTGGTGGATAAGCACCCTGACTCGGCTGGGCTTGGCACAGTTCCAGATGACCATCCAGGTAGGTGGGCCAAGCCAAGCCAATCTCACCTCAGGGTACATAGTTCTCAACAGCTTCTGGATTTATTATAATACTTAACAATGAGGTATTGGAAATTGGTGGGGCCCAGGGTTGGTGCAGGATGTTTAGGAAGTCCAGGCAAAACAGAAAATGCTGCCCCCACTACCAGACAGGTGGGAGGGGTGCCACTGCTGTGCACAGGACACCGACTACCCCTGGTGGGCAGCAGAAGAAACTTGAGTTGCCAGCTGTTTTTGGACTACATCTCCCATAATCCATAGCTAGCAGGACCAGTGTTCAGGGATGATGGGAACTGTAGTCTAAACTGGGAAACCCTTATATCACAAGGAAGTTTAAACAAATTGAGCTTCCCACACAACACAGGCTTGTAGAGGGTTAGGGTTCTCAAAGACATCACTCCTCTTATAGTGCCAGGTGGGCCATTCATTATTTTTTTTAAAAAGATATTTATTAAAATTTCAACATATTACAAAAATGAGCGAAAAAAGAAAAAGGAAAGCAGATAAAAAAAAAAGCTATAAAAATGGAAAAATACAAAATACAAAATAAAAGCAGTTAAACAAACAGATTAGTCTTTCTATGACTTATCTTTCATTTACTTGTTTCCCCAACCTCCTCGCGCCTCCCTTTTTTGTATTCCAGTTCACATATTTTGTTCAGCAGTTCCCTCCCCTCTTTTAAAAATCCTAATCATTAATCATAAAAATATTGTACTTTTAGATTTTTACATATTACATAATAAACCCTTTTTTCATCTTCCCTTATAACATTTCAGCTAAGAACCACTTAGTTTTTATCGAACGTCATTCTAACATTCATTAATTTTACAATATTTCTGTAGATAATCTTTGAATTTCTTCCAATCTTCTTCCACCGACTCTTCTCCCTGGTCTCAGATTCTGCCGGTCATTTCCGCCAGTTACATATAGTCCATCAGCTTCATCTGCCATTCTTCCAAGGTGGGTAGATCTTGTGTCTTCCAATACTTTGCAATAAGAATTCTTGCTGCTGTTGTGGCATACATAAAGAAAGTTCTGTCCCTCTTTAACACCAATTGGCCGACTATGCCCAGGAGGAAGGCCTCTGGTTTCTTCAAGAAGGTATATTTAAATACCTTTTTCAATTCATTATATATCATTTCCCAGAAAGCCTTAATCTTTGGGCATGTCCACCAAAGGTGAAAGAATGTACCTTCAGTTTCCTTACATTTCCAACGTTTATTATCGGGCAAATGATAGATTTTTGCAAGCCTGACTGGGGTCATGTACCACCTGTATATCATTTTCATAATATTCTCTCTTAGGGCATTACATGCCGTAAATTTCATGCCTGTGGTCCACAACTGTTCCCAGTCAGCAAACATGATATTATGTCCTAAATCTTGTGCCCATTTAATCATAGCAGATTTCACAGTTTCATCCTGAGTATTCCATTTCAGCAACAAGTTATACATTCTTGACAAAGTCTTAGTAGTGGGTTCTAACAGTTCTGTTTCCAATTTTGATTTCTCCACCTGGCCAGGTGGGCCATTCAGACTCTACTTGAGATCTCTAATGAAGAAGAGCCCACCACCACCTTCCAAGATTCATCTGCCCAGAGCCAGGAATGATGGCCACAGATCTCACATGGTTCAAGATCACCTGAGCCCAGCCCTGGCTAGGGAAGGCCCTGATCGCTGCCTGCAGTAGCCTTTCTTTCATGTGGGAGGAGGCCTTGATTCACCCCAACAGTTGTTTTCCAGGAAGTGTGGGAGGCAGAGAGGGGAGCTATTTCTATTCTCTTCCCTTGTCTCCCTTTGTTTTCGCCTTGGCATCTCCCCCTCCCCCTCTGCCCCCTGTCTCTCCTGGCACCCCACATCAAAGCAAAACACAGAGGAACATAAATGGAACCGTCCCTTTAGACATTTGCTTCATCAAGCCCCGCTTTCTCCCTACAAATCTGCAATTAGTTTTTGTTCTGATTAGGGTTTGCTTGCTAATGAGAGACTCCCGAGGAGGCAGCTGGGACTTCCGAGGCAAGAGAGGCAGGCAAACACTTCAGAATTAATTGCCAAGGCAGGCTGTGGGGGCAGGGGAGGAGAGGCGGAGAGGGCAGCCTACCCAGGCACCAGGCACATTCCTGCTGAAGCGGGGGAGCAGGCAGCAGGTTAGTCTGGACTCTCCAGAGGCCAAGAACACCTCCTGCCTGCAGGAGCTCCTCAAATGGTTGGCAAAAAGAATGAAAAAGGGAGAACCATAGAATATTGCAGAATTGGAAGGGACCCCAAGAGTCACGAATCACAACTAAAGAATCCCTACAGGGAGGGAAATTCTTGCTGCTGCTGTTTCTATTATTCTAAATAAGTGGAAACTTGTTTAATCTAAGACCATACCCTCCAACATTTTGTGATAAAAATTCAGAGGACCCGCCCCACCACCACCCATCTCCATCGCTCGCCACCTGCCTGCCACTGACCCCTTCCTCACCCACCCACTCGCTGCTGCAACCCACTCATTCACCCCCTCCTTTCCTCCCCCCTCTCTTAACTCTGCTGTCTTCAGCCTCCTGCTCATGAGACGCTGCATCTCCAGACACAGCGTGATCTAGAGCAGACTCTGGGAAGATGCCGTCTGCACTGCATCTGGAAAATTGGGGGCATCCCTGATTGGGATCAGAGGCCAGGGCAGCTTCTGTCAATTTGGGATGTCCCAATTAAATCAGGACACTTGAGGGGTATGCAAGACAGAGGCCGATTCAGTGAGAAAGCCAGTGTCGGATTAGGACCTTGGAGGAAAAATACTTATTATAAGTACTTATTATAAAATAAGTAAGTAAGTATAAGATGGGCATCTGCACATCGTCAGTATTTTGGGGGGACTAAACTGCATCCTGGAACTTCAGGTTTGTGCATTTAAAGTGGATCCATCCACTTTTTAAAACATGAACTGACTTTCTGCAGTTAGGTAAATGGTGGAAATGCACTGGAATGCTCAATAAAGCTCAGGCACAGTCTAGCATCCTTGTAAGCATTCTACAAGCAAATCAGAACAAATGTTCAATCATTCATTCTGATTTGTTTATGGTGTAGATATAGGACTGTGAGCATCTGTCCTGTGTTCCTCCTGATTGGCTTGTGGGGGTTTACATATTTTCCAATCCATTATTCAACCAACTCACACTTTTCAGCACATTTCCAGGTCACTTTTGATACCACAAAAAGTCTCACCTCTCTCTCTCTCTCTCTCTCTCTCTCTCTCTCTCTCTCGGAAGTGGGTTTATTGTGCTTAGGGTGACAGAGTTCTTTAATCCACTGTGCAAATCTAAATGTATGGCCTGCCCTGGAATCTCTCCTGCAAGACACTGGCAGTCTGGAGGAGCGCAAAGTGAGTGAAGGAAGCAGAACAGTTCCACCATGCACAGCAAACACACAGCCCCCTCCCACGTGTCCCCCCAGCAGTTTAGGCCAGTTCCCCCTCCTCATTCCCCACCCCCACCCAGCATGCTTCTCAACACAATGGTCTTCTAGAGGCAGTAAAGAGGAAACAGAGGAAGCCCCATTTATCTTTGCAAATTAAAGATGCTTCTTTTTGATCACCCTGACTCTTAGAGAATTGACTTCTAAAAATGAGATTCTTAATTAAACATTTCTGTTCTGCTGACGCAACTCACTAGAGTTCAGCCTCGGAATGAAAAGGGACGACTTGGAGATAATGCGTTTGGGGAGATAGTCGTCTCCCTCATAGAGGAATCCTGAAAGAACCAGGAATGTAATTGTATTATATTGATGTTGATTCTCTTATTTAACTCGGCTGCAAATGAAGCATTTCGGTATTGAGCTGCAACCCATTTTAATTTACAATACCAGCCCAGTTCCCCTCCTCGACACTAGAAGTAATGAAAAATGGATCAGAGAAGCAGGTTTATTTATTTATTTTACGTATGGGAAGCTCATGCCCCCGCTTGCCCCCTGGCACACAGCCTGAGCGGAGCCTATGGCAAGCAGCAAAGGGTGTTTTCCAGCCAATAAATAGAGAACCTGCTTAACCTGCTTGGAAGCTTGTTGAAGTTCCGCTTGTTGAACTTCTGCAAGACTTCCGCTGTTTCTGAACATGCAAAATCTGTCCATGCAAAATCTCACCTCCTTCTCAAGGGCATGAGTAATAGGAATTTGCTCCAGGCAAAGACTGCTGTGGCTGATGTGTGGTCCCCCCAGTGAAGTTCATGGAGATGGCTCCTCACTTTGGTCCAAGCTGCATGAAGGCACAGGGCTGGTTCTCTGCAAAGGTTTGGCTGTCAGATGATGCACCCAGCTTCCTGCTGTGAGGCAGGTCCTTTAGCAGCAGCCACAGTGGAGTGAGACAAATTCATGGAGGAGGAAAAGGCTATTGATGGCTACTAGCCAGGATGGCTATGCTCTGTCTCCACAGATGGAGGCAGCAAAGCTTCTGAATACCAGTTGCTGGAAACCACAGGAGGGGAATGTGTACTTGAATGCTGGTTGGGGGTTTTCCACACTGGTTAACCACTGTGAGGCCAGTATGCTGGGTGCTTTTGGAGGGTCAATTTTTCTCATGTTACTGTGTCCTGAGACAGTTATTTAGCTATTTATTTCTTACATTTATATACCACCCTTTCTCCAAGGAGCTCAACGTAGCCTACATGGTTATTAAGAAAGGTAAAGGTAATGGCCCCCTGGTTAAGTCCAGTCAAAGGTGACTATGGGGTGTGGCGCTTTTCTTGCTTTCAGGCCAAGGGAGCTGGCGTTTGTCCACAGACAGCTTTCCAGGTCATTTGGCCAGCATAACTAAGCCGCTTCTGGCGCAACATGGTTATTGTTGTGATGATAATGGTGATGATGATTTTATTATCTTTACACCACCCATCTGGATGGGTTGCTCCAGCCACTTTGGGCAGCTACCAACACATATAAACACATAATAAGACATCAAACATTAAAAACTTCCTGATACAGGGCTGCCTTCACATGTCTTCTAAAAGTTGTATAGTTTATTATTACAGTCATACCTTGGGTTAAAGTTGCTTCAAGATTCAGCATTTTCGGGTTGTGCTCCGCGGCAACCCAGAAGTAATGGAATGCGTTACTTCCGGGTTTCGCTGCTCGCACATGCGCAGATGTTCAAAATGACATCACATGCATGCGCAGAAGCCGCGAATTGTGACCCGCGCACGTGCAGACACACAGATGCGGGTTGCGTTCACTTCAGGATGCGAACGGGGCTCCAGAACAGAACCCCCTTCGCATCCAGAGGTACCACTGTATTATTATTATTATTATTATTATTATTATTATTAATTAGATTTATATGTCACCATTCATCAAAAGATCTCAGGGCATTTCACAAGATAAAAATACAAGATAAAAACACAAATAAATAGTTAAAACAGAAAAAAACAAGATGATAACCCCGTCCCACAAACACATTAAAAAGGTTCTGGAATATTAATCAACCCTAGGCCATGTTGAAGAGGAATGTTTTTGCCTCACACCTAAAAATATGTAGTGAAGGTGCCAGAGGAACCTCTCTGGGGAGAGCATTCTACAAATGGGGAGCCACGTGGAGGAGGCACACGAAGAAGCACCTCAGATGATGAACACAGAGTCCAGGTTAGTTTATATGGGGACAGGTAGTCCTTGAGGTATTGTGGTTCTGAGCTGTTCTGCAATTCCTTATTTTATTCTTGCAACAACCCTGTGAGGTAAGTTAGGCTAAGAGACAGTGACTGGCCCCTGAGGTTATTCAGTGAACAGCCTAGCCGTGTGGGGACTAGAACCCTGGTCTCCTTGGTCTTAGTCCATCACTCTAACCACTACACCACACTGACTCTCATGCAGCTCTTATGCTGCTCAGCGTTTGCTTTGACCCAGAAGGATGGTCAGGCTGTAGGGGCATAGCAAGGGGGGACCAGGGGGCCATAGACCCAGGCGCACAATTTTTAGGGGACACAAACCCAGCACCCCCATGCAGGGATCCCCGTCTCATCCCACCCTGCCCCAGGGGATCTCTGGACCTCACCACTGCATCCCCAGCTCCCTTGCTCAATGGCCACATGGCTAGCATTGGCCGGTCAGTCTCCTCACTGTGTGAGCAGATACCGCAGCACAGCCCCACTTGGCTCCAGTGGTGGGGGCTGACGCGATTGGTTCTGTTCACCCTCTGTGCCCTGCCCCAGACTGGCACACACACACATGTCCCGGGCATTGGCAAAAAAATGCAACGCCACTGCCAGGCTGGTAGCAACTGATGGGTCAAGTGATCTTTAAGCATCAGATGGGTTTGGACTTTGGCCTCTGCTAGTTCAAAGAGATGTTCCTGCTCACTCTGCTTTGTTGCACGGAGAGAGAGAGTGGCCTTCTGTTTACAAAGTGCATGCTGAAGGCCGCCAATCAACAAGGCACACAAACACACACAAGCACTTCTTTTGTCAGAGACAATATTAATGTTGCTGGCTTTGCAATCTCTGCTGCACCTTCTCTTTTGACAGCAAAGACATCTGCTCTGGGCCTGCTTTGAGCCGCCATCCTTGAGGATTTAATAGAGCTATCGAAGGGGTGGAAACATTGATTGATTCTTATTGACTGGCTTGCAAGGCGGGGGTGCACAGGATTATACAGAAGGGGGATGTTTATTCGGCCGCAGGCTGCCCATGATTCACCCGCGATGCCTCTGCGGTGTACAGGCTCTCCTGGTGCAGGTGCTCCAGCCAGGAAGAAGGAGGGGCTCCCCAACCAAACAGTCTGGTATTGGGGGGGTGTTGAGTAAGCAGAACAAGGCAAGATCACAAAGACCCTCTTGACCAGCCCCTGTGGGTGGGGTGAAGGCAGGGAGATCCTTCATCACAAGATGGATACAAGTGAGGGTTGCATGAACAAGGTCCCAGGTTCAACCACAAGGGGGCAGCATCTCTTCTGGGAGGGCTAGGGAAACACTCCCTGCCAGATACCCTGGAGACCTGCTGCCGGCCAGTGTAGTCATTGAGCAACTGCTCCTTGGTGACGCTGAATCACAGGGGCTTCTCTGTGGATAGAGAGGTTTTTCTCTGCTCTAGGACATCCAAGGAAGCTGAATGGTGGAAGATTCGGGACAGATGGATGAATGTCCTTCGTGCAGTGTGTAGTTAAACTATGGAACTCTCTGACACAGGAGGCAGCCATGGCCACTAACCTAGATGGCTTTAAAAGAGGAGTAGACAAATTAATGGAGGATGGCTTTGCTCTGCTGCTGGAGGCATACATGGAGGCAGAGTATAGCCATCATAGCTAGTAGCCATCCATAGCCCTCTCCTCCTCCATGCCATGAATTTGTCCAACCCTCTTTTGAAGCCATTCAAGATGGTGGCTACCACTGCTTCCGGTGGCAGGGAGTTCCATAGTTTAACAACACGCTGCATGAAAAAGGACTTTCTTTTATCTCTCCTGAAAATTCAGCTTCATTGGATGACCCCAGATTCTAGAGTTAGGCCACCCCTTCTTCCACCTTTTCAGCAAGTAAGCAGTTAAGGCCACTGTGTAATGGCAGTAGTAATCATGCCAGATTGAATAGCGCTCTCTCTCTCTCTCTGTGTGTGTGTGTGTGTGTGTGTGTGAGAGAGAGAGAGAGAGTGTTGCCTGTCTTCCTGGTGCAGAACCATAATTCTTTCCCCGATCTGTTACATGTCTGAGAGAGGTGGCGGCAGAGAGGGATAAGCAGCCGTTGTGTGATGGATCTGTGCAAAGGGAGGTGAAGGCCCGACCTTGAGAAAACATTTGCTTATCTCTTGGAATATGAAGTGCCTTCGCTGGGCAGGGCAGAAGATGCTCCTTGCAAAAGGCTCTGAGAAATCGCACAGAGCCATTTACGCAATCCCACAAGGACCTGAGGAGGCGGACTGCCTGACGTGCTGGGTCACTTCCAAGGAAGAGCGATGGCTTGGAGTCAGTCTGCTGCTATCATCACCATCCTGTTGCAGAGGACACAGGCAAGCAGGAGGGGCAGGTAGCCAGGGAGCTTCTGTGGCCCACAAGCCAGGGTGGAGGATGTCCTGATGAGCCCCACTGCCCCTTATCCTACTCAGGAGATGCTACACTAGGATGTCATCCTCAGTTTCTGGTCGCCTCACTTCAGAAACAGATATTGTAGACTTGTAAAAGGTTCAGGAAAAAAAGAGCAACCAAAATGATCAAAGGTATGGAGGAACTTCCCTAGGAAGAGAGGTTGCAACATTTGGAACTTCTGAGTTTAGAGAGGAAAGGCAAGTAAGAGGCAACTTCATCACTGTTTATAAAATTATGTGTGGCATGGAGAAAGTGGGTAGATTAGTCATAATCCTAACTCATAGACACCCAATGAAGCTGGAAGTTGGGAGATTCAGGACAGATAAAAAGAAGTCCTACTAAGTCAATCCCATAGGAGGCAGCGATGACCACTGTAATGGTTCTAGGGGTTGCTCGTGTGTAAATCGGCGCCACACCTGGCTGGGTTGCCTGAGTGAACCCTTTCTGTCCGGACAACCACTTGCCCGTGGCTGTCTCAGTCGCTGGCAGAATCCGTCAGTGG